CTCCCCTTTAAAAAAAAATGGGGTGATGCTTGCTATTGTTTTTCAAAGGGGTATTTTGATGGAGTGGACAGAAACAACATGCTGGATTCTCCCCCCCCCCCCCCCCGCCCCGCCTGAAAGAATCAACAGCTTAGAAATATAAGGATTCTTCCATCTCCACAGTTACATCTTCAAATATAGTTACATCAACAAATATATTGTTCTCCTGACTGACAATATCCATTCTTGTGCCTTGTCTCCTTTGATTCTTGGAAGGCTTGCAACACTACCAATGTGACTTTGTCAGGATATATTCCCAGTAGCTCATCCTAGGGATTTTTAAAAGAAGTCAAGTAGAACGGTGCTTTGCATAAAGAGATTTTGTACTTGGATCACTATGAATACTATTGTGTTTTACTGTTTCTTGTCTTATAATAACACCAAGAAGATGCATTATAGAGGCCTAATAGCACCTTCACATACAAAACTCGGAGTACTTAATTTTTTTTTCAATCAGCTGAATCGGCAATTTTCGTAGGAGTGTTGTAAGAAAATAGAAAGTCGGGGAAATATACCCTAAAAAGGAACTACACAGATGAGAAATCCAGGTATAGATGGAAAATAAAAGGAGAAACATCTGTTTGTAGAAGAACAAAATGGGGCAAGAAGGAATAGGAGAAACAAAGAGCATACAGTTTTAACATTAAATAAAGTTGATGGGGGAAATGGTTGCCTTCCAAAGTCTTCATCACTGGAGGAAAAAGAAATAGCTAAGAGAATAAGAAGAATTAAATGAAGTGAATGGAGGCTAGTAAACATAACAAACCAAAGAGAGATGGGAATAAAAGTAGCACAAAGGCTAAATAGAAGTAGGGGGCAGCAGAAAAAGAGCAAGTAGTAGAAGTACTCCTCTTGCTTCATTTTATAGCAAGTTTTCTCTATTAACCTTTGATTGTGATGGACCACTGGGTTTTGGCAGCTTCCAACTAGCAGTGCTACATATCTCCACTTCTTTTCCCCTTTGAAGTCATGCTGAAAATTTCTACATGCACACATGGAGGGGTGGGGGGCAGATGGACTGTTTCACAGCCATCATTCTTGTACAAGCCCAGGAGCATATGGGAGCTCCCCAGACAGACAGGTAATACGATGTTGCGGTTATCATGTTGGGTTTGGGTAAAAGAAACTTGGTTTCACACTTCTGCTTAGTTAAAAACAGTGCAAACCTGTGCATGTTTAAACCACACCTGCCAAAAAAAAAAAAAAAGTCCTACAGCTCCTATCATGTACCAGCCAGTCATCATGGGAAATGCTGGAAGTTTTAGAATTTTTATCTTCTTCAGTAGCATAGAACTGCACCTTAGTGGGACACATTGCAAACCCTTTATCTTTCAGTGTAAACTACACTCATGTGGTTATTATGGAGCCATGGACATAACTCTCAGAACATCTGAGAAGTAGGTAGGGCTGAAGACATTGTAACCTTCCTTGTCATTTACCCATTTACACATAATTCACCTACATGTGGGGGTACTTTGGGTATGCTCAGAAGAAGCTTCCCGCATGCAACTCCATTTTGTTTGTACTGTTGCTCTATAGATGACACTGGGGAAAAAGTCAGCATCTGTACACAGGTACAAACACTGATATTTATGGAAGAATCTGGTATAAGGATTTGCAACTGGGTTTTTAACAACCCATTCCCTCAAATAGTATATCAGGAACCAAAATAGCCCAGCTTACATATGTATTCTATGGCAAAAGTGAAAACCACTGTTGCTGCTTACGACTTCCTGCCAGAGTAGGAGCCAAGTTACTACGGTAACTAATGAACGATAGCTGGCCCACATCTTTCCAGTGAAATGAAAGCTGTCCCTCAACACTCATGAGCATTGCCCTGTTGGATTATCTAAGAGTACAGCTAGCCACTATAAACCATTAAAAGAAAATAGCATTCATATCCTGACCTGGAAGATTAAGGATGCCTGTCAAGCATTACCAGTTGTTTTTTTTCCCCCGCTTACAGAGAATTGCTATGTTTAGGATGTCAATCATCCTTCCTGGCACAGAAAGGTCCAGAAAAGAAAAACACATAAAATCAACATGGGAGAAGTATATACACCAGGAGCCTGCACCCATATTCCCCTTCAGGTCCTCCAAGCTTTCATCTTCAACATTGTAAGAGCTGTATTAGCCCTCAATCGGACTTTTACTAATATTTCATTTTTGCCGTATTCTTATAAATTTTTCTAATAAAAATGACTGACAGATTTCGCAAAATCATGAATTCCAAACACATTGAAAGATTGAATTGATGCTTGGTTCATTTCAAAGCTTTATTGCTGGCAAAAGCTCAGCTGCAAAGCTCCAGGGCAAAAATGAACCAAAAAGAAAAGCTATCCATTTCTTATGGGAACTTTGTGAAGAACACAATGAATGCTTTTCTGTTTTTCTCCCAAAGATCCCTTGTCAAAATTTGCTCAAAAATCTTGCCCAGAAAAGAAGCAGCAAGAAGAAGAGGAGAAGGTAAGACTTCCACACCAAGTGAAATGTCATAGATTGTCTCTAGATCTTTTTAAAAAAATCTCTCAAGAGTGAAATCTCATTCTGCTGCTTCTGAGCTCAAGTGATATAGGCAGGTAGCCCATGCTATTTTGAGAAACTAAATACATATTCACTCCTATGGCAGACTGTGTGCAAACACAGACTGCGTGCAATGCCCCCCAGTTTGAAAGCCTTTTTCAAGGAAAGCTGGACACTTGGCTTTGGCTAAGTCCATAATATGGCTTGCTGAATATTCAGAGTAGGTGATGTGCTGGCAGACAATTCCCATTTTCTCTCCCAGATTTGAACAGGCAGAGTTAGACATTAGAAATTAGGAAAGAATAACATCCTAGATGAATTATGCTTCATAAGTTGCCTTTGAGCTCCTTAGGTGAAGCTTCTCCAGCATGATGCCCTCTGATGCGTTGGGCTACAGATCTCACTTTTTGGCACTGACAGGAACTTACCACCATAAATAAATTAAAAATTACTCTTATGTAAGCATGCATTCACCCAATTCAGACTGGGACTACGGTGCTCTAGCACAGGAGGGTTAAGCCTTCCCTTCCTCCCTCATGCCTCCCCAAATTCTTCCCAAGGGGGTTAAAAAACCTCCATTTGAATTAGTTTTTCCTGTTCATTTCTGAATGTGGGCTTTCAGGAAAAATCAGTTGAGAGGGGAAATTTAGCCCGTACATCTTGGTAGTCCAAATCAGAACGATGCATGCTTATACAAGACAAGCCTCATCTAGCGTAATGCGTGTTTTGTTTACTTATATTCACATTCAAGTGCTTAGAGCAGATGTTTGGACTGCAGCCTCCAGTACACCTAATTGTTGACTATGCTGCTTGGCAGGGGCTGATGGAAGCTGAAGTCCAACGCACCTGGAGGGCCCCAGGTTGGGGAAGGCCATTGTAGTGCAATGTGGTACATGTAATTGAAGCATTAATTAGACAACTGTGTCTCAAGGAATTATGGCCACTTCAAAATGAATGGAAGGCCAAACTAGGTTACAGAAGACTATACATATTCCCCACAGATTTATAAAGTTTGCTCTTTTATTATAACTGCACTTATTTCTTGGTTATATATCCCACTGTAAAAATGAGTTCTGAAGAAATTTCATTTGAAACAGTCATTCGACGTGTGTTTAGTTTAAATGCATCTGTTGAGAACATGCTTACCTTGCATTGTTGTTTTTGTAGGTTCGGAAAAGAGAGGAATAAGTAGAAGGTAGATGAGGTAGACGAATGAGAGCCCATTGTAGCGGAATGCACATGCTGTAGAGAGAAAACAGGGTGGGAGGGAGAAATGGAGTTATGTAACAAATGTATCAGGGAAATAGTAAAGTGACTGAGCACAGCGTCAACTACTATGTGGCACAAGCAATACATGGAGTTTTACAGGATCTTCATATCCAAATTCTTGCTCATTTAATGTAGCCCATCAATAGATATTTTTTTAGACAGGAGCAGGGTGATCTTAAATAATGTCCTCAGAGGAAGAGATGACTTGGCTGCAATGCCAACTACACCACAGCTTTCATGCATGACCTTGAACAACTCTTATTATAGCTCTGTGGTTCATTTTCCTTATCAGAAAAAGTGGAAAATTATGCCACCTACTTAACGAGTGTAAGGCACAATCCAATGCAAGTATAGGTGGAAAAAGGGCCTGAAACTTCCAGAATGCCATAGCCAACCTCTCTTTTCTTCACACACAAATCTATACTATGATTTAAAATTTTAATTCTCCAAGAATCATGCTACTTTGCAATAGGACAGATCTTTTTCATGTTTCCCTCTACATACGGGAAAGTATTTTCATTTTAGTTAAATATACATGCTCACAGACACATTTCTACTTCAACATTCATAGAATATCGCAGTCAGATCTTAGAATATCAATGTTTCCCCTGCTACAGCAGCAATTCTAAGTCAAAAGTTTATTTAGAAACAGGAATAAGTTTTAGTACAACATAGCAGAAAGCAGATGGTCTGAATGGTTTCCTCCTTGAACTATTCCATACAAATACTTTCTATAATGCAAGTCCATCTCACCTGTATTTGCTTTTGTCATTATATTTGTTTTCTTCTTTTCCTCTAAAGGAATTGCTCAATGAAACTTTGGCTCAGGCAAAAAATTACACATGTAAATTAATTTCATGGCAAGAAATTAATGTGTGATTTTTCATTCGGGCTGTAAAAGCATGCTATATGGCATGGTAAGTATATAAAAATGTTTAGAAGGTAGAGAAAAAAAGAAGCTGCAGTCCACCCACATACATGGTAGGTGTTGACCTACCACATTCAGAATGTGTCTTGAGAGAAATCAAATACCGGTGCAGTGAGGTATCAGTGCAAGAACAGAGGTGCCTGTTTATTTAAACAAAAATGTAACTTCCATTATTTCAATCACAAATATTTCTGTTAACTAGAATTTGGTAAATTTCTCTGAAAGCACTTTTTTGCAGAAATTAGAGGTGGTAAGCTAAATTCTATCTCTTCTGTTAACCCTGAGAGCAGAATACAAAAATTACAATTTCACTTTTTTCATTCTTGTAACGGAACTATTTTGAAAACCACAATCCAAGGCATTCCAAATGCTCCTAGAGACCAAGGGTGTTTCCAGAAAAGAGTTTTATTTCACCATCAAGCAACATCATTGACAGAATTATTAGGAGACCTACAGACCTTATCATGAACCACTCCTAACCCTTGTTTTCCCACCACTTCTGCCTTTTTTCTAACAGTAGAAAGCTGTTAATGAGAAAAAGATTCAACAACTACACAGTACCTTCTAACTGGTAATTTTAACAGCCCTCCATCTGCATGTACCCAAAATGTATGAAAGAAGATTCCTACGCTACCCTGGGGCTCTTTAAAAATATTACCCAATGCCACAGGAACTCCTTAGGAAACTCCCATGCATTTGCCCTAATATTTAAATAAGGCAATCTCTGAGGTATGCACAGACACTAAAAATCATACCTTACCAGCAAGTATCAATCACTATCAGATTTTGTAGGGAAAGACCCATGTAGGAAAAGGCCCCACTCCAGCCATCCAGGAATCAAACATCCTGTTGCACCTGGCTATGACACACTTGAAGGATCCTTTCTTCATGTGGAAAGATGGGTGACTTTTATCCTCAACAGCCAACAGAGTCATTCATATTTGGAAACGGGATTCCAAATATATTTTCTGCCCTGCACTTGGGAACTTTGCTTATGCTAACCAGAAGCCAGGTGTGGGGACAAAGCCACCAATGCTCCTGTGAAAACCCTTGGAAGAGGCAAGAGAACCAAGAGCTGCTGGTTTGCAATTTGAACCTTTTTTTGCCTGAGAAGCAAACAGATTGCTGCTGATATACTGGAAGAATTAACTGTTCAGAACAAATACAAGAAAGAAACTTGGGTCCAACTAAAAGTTATACGCTTTTTACTATTGTTTGTGCTGGCCACTTCTCAAATCAGAACCATAGTGCACAGGAAGGAGGATGTTGATCTTTTCCTCAAAATTGGTTTCCCACCAAAAGTCACCCACCAGCTGCTATTTTACACCAAAAGTGCTATTTGTTGTAGAAAGCAGTTTGGGGGGGGGGGGGATGTAGTGGTGGTGGGGGGTGATTTTTAGTAGAAAACTTGTGCAGAAATGTAAAAATTTAAATCTTCCTTCTTCCAGGCACTGGATTCAATCCAAATCACAGCTCTATGCCATTGCTTGTTTTTTAAAAAATTACATACCCAGTTCAAAGAACATTTTTAAAAATATGCTCCAAAATATGTGTGCAAGTTAGTATATTTATTACATTTTCACACTGCCCAATAGCTATCCTCTCTTTAAAAGTGCATTAGGCAAGATTTATTTTATTTTATTTTATTTATTCTATTTCTGTTCCACAGAATAGCTTAAGTTGATATCTGTAATCCCAGGATATTCTGTAAGTGCTTGCCCACTTCTTGCACACACTGTGCAAGTGCACAGATAACACAGAAAAGGTGACTCTGGACAATTGTTTCTTTAGAGTTCCACAGTTAATAAACACAAACACAGATATTGTTTGCTTTGTCTCCAACATTTATTTCAAGTTTTCTTTTATACCAAGAAGTTGCACACACCTTTCTATCACCCAGGCACCCCAGCATGTAGGCAATTATTTGGAAGAAAAACGCAGCTGCATGGAATTTTCACAGCAGACTGCTAATGTGCAAATTACTAAACTGACAGATGTAGAATATTTCAGCTTTATGGCATGACATCATTTTTAAAAAATAGCTGAAAATTGAGCTTGCAACTAAACGAGGCATACCCTTATGCTTTGATTACTGCCAATGAAACTGCTCAGAACTAATTGAGCCCTGCTGTTCAAGATCCAGCAAACCAAAAGATTCATTTTGCCTGGCATGATAGAAGAAAAGGGCTCCATCCAACAAGCTAGTCACAGCAAAAGATGACTATTTGCTAGCTATAACTGTATCTCTACTGCACGCCAGTCTTTTCACTATCTAAAATTCTTCATTTATCACTAGTCTGGATATTACCATGGCAAGAATAACATAGCAGTCTGTTTTCTCCAAATAGGATTACAATGAGAAAATCGGATAAAGCTGAAAAATGGTACTCCAGGGAATCTGTGCCCCTGCCCCCAAGTTCTGTACCTGGTCTTTTAAGGTGAGTGCAAGCCATCCAACCTAACCCAATCAAACACTTCCATCCAGATCAGTAGGTTTTCTCACCCACTTCTGCCTTACCTGGATTAAGCACTTACGCCCCCCACCCACAAGATACCTGTTCAAGGTTTCCAAAAATTGTGCAAATAGTTAAGAGGAAACGAGAAGTAGCCATGTGCCCTCTGATGACATTTTTGCTCAAACCTCTGTAGAGCTTCTGGCATGAAACAGACATCAGTCCACCAGCATCAGTCCCGTGGAACTTCCCTCCAAAAAGCACTGGAGCCCCTGTAATGCTGTGCTCCACAGTCACAGACTGAGCAAAAGATCCAGAAAGCCACTAAGGGACAAGAGCATCTAAAGCCTGCCCTTCCTCCCTTATGATCCATTAGCTTGGAACTTTCTCCTGGAAGACCTGCATGATGCCACATCCCTTTTGCCTTCAAAGCACTCCTTAAAACTCACCTTTTGCATCCTTTGGCACAACATCCTTCGCTTTCCCAACTCTCCTTTGACTAGTCCTTTAATGGTTCTTCCAAACAAGGCTTGTATTGTGCCTCATTCATGGAATTTTACAGGGGGTCCAGATGAAGTCATCTTCTATTTGTTTTCCTACTGCTTCTTGCCAGAAGAAAATAAATACAGAATGGCTGTACACTGTCTTATGATTGGCAGCACTAGGCACTCCATGGCTAGAAGCACATCAGTGGTGCTTCCAGATGAACTTTTTAGTAAACCATTGCTCTGCTCCATTCACTGAATTGTATGGTAAGTCCACACAATGTCGCCTTCCACTCACCACCATCATCCCACTTTTCCCCACCATTCTTCAGTCTTTTTTCATATCAGAACAAATCCATGACAGAACTGCACAGCATTTACAAGTTTAGCTCTGCCTCCACTAACCTGCTCTTTCTTGGTTTCTCCAGTGTTGAATTTTCAGTTTTATATTCCTTATGGCAGGACCCTCTCCTATTCTACCCTGTCAAAGGCCATGTACACCTGTGGCATTAGATCAAAGTAATCCCCTGGAAACCATAACTGATCTCCAAATGAGACTGAGATTTCAGTCTTCCCAGATCTGCTTGACTCCATTAACCCAGTCAGAGAACTCTTCCTGATTCCTCTTAATATTATGAACCATCACCTGAAATTATTCAATGTATTTCTCATTGTGAGGTTAGTTGTAAGATATATACTATATTAGAAAACATATTTCTGTTTATTAATTTACAAAGTTACTTGTT